AAAATAAAATTAGCATACCAAAATAACATACGCGTAATATAGTTCAATAAAATAAACAGTTTCTAGCCCAAACTTAAAATCTTTCGCCCACTAGTTTTATGGGCGATTGAAAATTGCTTCAATCGATCTATCTGCAAAATCGAAATTTTATTCTAGTTGACCTTTTTTGGAGTTATGCTTAAAGAAATTCATGTCGCGATATGCAAATGATGCAAAAGTCATGATGAATGAATGAAATAGAAAAAGGGGGAAATTTTAGGGTATGACAATTGTCTCTATTTAAATATCTCCGACTAGAGAATATGAAGAATGTCAATCTTCATATAATCGCGATGGGAGGTAGTTAAATACTAAAGGACCCAAATTTTGTCCCTTGATGCAATGAGATGACCTGTTATGTTATGATTTTATGGAAGATTTTTCTTGCTGGGGATATGAAATGTAAAGAAGGCTATTTGGGGATTGTTGGGATGACTTGTAAAGGAGGTCTGTTGGGGATTAAATGAGGTAAGACGAAAAAGACTCACTAGGGAAAAAATAAGGATAAGTTCTGGAAATTCATTAGAACGAAAACAAGTTATAGATCCTCACGTAATGATAATGAAAGGTTTTGGCTTCTCCCGGGAAAAAAATGACAAGTTTTTGGATTCTCACGTAACAAAAGTGAAAGGTTCTAGCTTCTCACAGAATAAAAAAAAGTATTTGGTAATCTTTGTAACAAAATGGTAAGTTCTGGAAATTCATCAGAACAAAAGTAACCGATCACAAATACATCGGACGAAAAGGAAAATCGTTCTGGAAATATATCAAAACAAATACATATCAGAAAATACACCAGATAGAAAGAAAAACATTCTGGAAATACATCAAAATAAATTGACACATCCAAAAATTCATCAGATGGAAAGGAAAAATGTTCTGGAAATATATTAGAACAAAACACATATCCGAAAATCCATCGGATAAAAACAGGTTTCTGAATTTTGTTGGACAAGAAAATAGGGGTTTGTGAATGACTTCGCTTGAGAAGACCTCGGTTTGATGACCGACACAAATGTTGATTGGGTTACTGAAAAGTCTTCGGGATTGGTACCGAAGAAAAGAAACTAGGCCTCCTTGAGAGTGGTTCCTGAATCCTGGTTTATGTTATGGATTAATCTGAACTTCCATGAGCGGTCACAGAATCATGGTTTATGTTATGCATATATGTTTTATGCTGATGTATAAGATGTAATGCATGGTTAATGCATGTAATAGGTTAATTTAGGTGTGTGCCAATGAAAATTACACTTTGAAGTTGAATTACCATACGGGAACTAGATTTGAAATGGAGATCACCAAATGAGTATTAAAATTTGAAATAGGCTACCAGACAGGAACTGGTGAAAAAGATTAAGTTGTCAGACGGGAATTAGATTTTAAAATAGGCTACCAGACGGGAACTGATGGAAAATTGTGAGACTAGAACTGACTTTACAACGGGCTACTAGATGGGAACTGGTTTTGATTTACTGTAACATAGGAACTGACTTTGAAATCATACTACCAGACGGGAACTAGTTAAAAGATTAAATTGCTAGACGGGAACTAGATTTTAAAATAGGATACCATACAAGAACTGGTGGAAAACTATCAGACACTAACTGGTTTCAAAATAGGCTACCAAACAGGAACAAGTTTTAAAATAGGCTACTAGACGAGAATTGGTTTTAAAATAGACTACCAAATGAGAAGTGGTGAAAATGATTAAGTTTCCATACGGGTGTTAACTTTAAAATAGGCTACCATAAGGGAACTAGGTTTTTATTAAACTGTCAGATGGGAACTGACTTTCCAACAGGCTACCAGACAGGAACTGGTGAAAAGGATTAAGTTGCATGACGGGAACTGACTTTAAAGTAAGCTATCAGATGGGAACTGATATTTAAGTTGACTTCTAAACGAGAATTGAATTGAATATAAGCTGCCATATGGGAACTAGTCATACAGATGAAAAAGGTTCAAATTCCAGACTAGTACTAGATTAAATAGCCATACGCGAACTGACTTTAATATAGGTTACCAGACGGGAACTGATTTTGATTTACTGCCAGATGGGAACTGACTTTGAAAATGGGTTACCATATAGGAGTTGGTTTTTAATTTAACTTTCAGATGAGAACTGACTTTAAAATAGGTTTCTAGACGGGAACTAGTCTTACAGATGAAAAAGGTTTAAATTCCAGACGGGTACTAGATTAAATTGTCAGACAGGAAATGGTATTTAAATTGAACTTCTAGATGAGAATTGGATTTTAAATTTTACAAATTCTAAACAAGCATCGAATACTGAAAAATTTTCCACTTTGCCAAACAAGTATCAGTCTTTAGGAATGAGGGATTAAGTTGCCAGACGCAAATTGACTTAAAAGTAGGCTATCAGACGGGAATTGGTATTTAAGTCAATTGTTAGACGGGAATTAAATTGAATATAGACTACCATACGGAACTTGGTCCTACAGATGAAAAAGGGTTAAACTCTAGAGGGTATTAGATTAAATAGCGAGACGGGAACTGAATTTAATATAGGCTACCATATGGGAACTAGTTTTAATTTACTATCAGACGGGAACTGACTTTAAAAATGGGTTACCATATAGGAATTGGTTTTTAATTTAACTGTTAGACAAGAACTGACTTTAAAATAGGTTTCTAGGCGGGAATTGGTCTTACAGATGAAAAATTTTCAAATTCCAAACAGGTACTAAATTAAATTTTCATCCGAGAACGGGTCTTTAAATTGAACTTCTAGACAAGAATTGAATTTTAAATTTGACAAATTCCAAACAAGCATCAGATTCTGAAAAAATTTCCACTTTCCTAGACAAGTACTGGTCTTTGGAAATAAGGGTGAGCGATACTCACAACTCTTTTTTATGCATGAGATTTGTTTTTATGAAGTATGATGATTATCTATGCAATGTATTATTTTCGGGCTATGCCACATAAGGTTGAGCTTTTGGAGGTGCTAAGCAAGATTGGACTTTTGTTGTTTTATCTTTCATGTTTGTTACAAGGCTTTTTGATGATGTCAGATTCATGTTATATGCATATGCCTAATGAATGTGATGATATGCATGGCGCGATGCTAGAGCGAAGCAACATGATTAATGCACGAGGATGTTTTATCCAATGTCTTGAGGGTTCATCATCAATCTTGACCTCGATAGTTATAAGAAAACTAAACTCTAACTTTTAACTAACATACTAAACAATATGCCTAACCGACTAGCCCAATTCAACATGCTAACTTAAATAACAAGCTAACATATTTTGACAATTACACTAACTCTTCAACTTCGACAAAGCTCTTTGACTTTGACGGAGTTTGCTACAACATTAACTTATAACCCATAAGCTACATAAAAACATCTCCATGGCTCCAACTTTAACCCAAAATCGAAGATATTTTGTTTAGCTTATGTCAGTTTCATAAATCTCATAGTACCGAATTTGATAATTAATTATTAAAAAATAATATTTCCAACATGTGTATGTTGAGAAATGAAAAATTCAATTACTAAAAATTTTAGGATATAAATACACATATTCTTTTTTAAAAAACCCAAAAATAATCTTTAACTTTGATTACTTTCTATAGTAAAGAGAATGAATGTTTATAGACATGACAATAGGGTGTGACAGAGATGAGTTTAATCATTATCAGCCACATCCCGCCTCTCTATACCACCTTGTCCCCACCTTTAAATCTAGTTGGAAGTAACAATTGAATATTTATCCTACCTCTTATTGCACTTACACTCACATTCAATTTGTTGTGAATTACGACAAAATTCAATATCAATTTATAAGACAAAGAACAATAGCAACCAAAATAAATGGTCTTCAGCAATTTATGAGGCACAGATAATATAATAGAATAAGGCAAGAAAAAAAACCAAAGGTTTGTTTACCCAGTTCTATCAAACGATCTACTCTGGGGGAGAGAGTTGTTCTTTCAATTCACCATACTCAAGTTATTACCAAAGACTACATATGAGAATCACTGAAATCCAAGATTTTCTTTGTTCATAGCTGAAACCCTACCCTATGTTATGCCTTTAAACCTTTACTTTTTTTTGTTGGTGAAAACTCTAAAATTGTCACACATCAAACATATAAGAGGTACATATTTATAATAGTAAATACCCAACAAATAAAATCCAAAATCACATAGATCCATGGACCGAATCGAAAAAAGTCTGAAAACTCGAAAATACTATTCACCGTACGGATAACACTATTCACCGTACAGACGTCACTATTCATCCTTACATATAGTACTATTCACTTACCGACTTTTCGTCCGACTTTCTAAAACTTCCGATTTTCGCAGTAAATGTAATTTCCAAAATATATTTTTTTTCTCTTCATCAACAAAGATTTTAAGACACGTTTGCAACACAATTAAATCAATTTTTCTTGTTGGTATCCAGCAAAAAGAGATTGGAATCCTTTTTCTTTTTTTCATACTTAGATGACGAATTGAGTATAATTGAACTTTTAATTTACATTTGTCGTGCGGTTCTTGAATTTGGTTATTATCGTTATTTTACAGTTGAAAGGCCATCGCTGTTTTTTACCGTCACTTTCCTAGATTTTCTCGTTCAATAGTGTGTCTAAGATCTTTTGTCTGAGAAAAGAAGGTTAAAAAAATAAGAAAAAAAAACATCTATGACTCTACTTTTTCACTGCTCACTTTGGTTCCACAAACAAAACACTCATCTATCATTTTTCTATCAAAATTAAAATCATAACATGTAAATAGCTTTACAAACTTATTTAAGAAAAAAAAAAGTTCCATTTCACCAAGTTTTAAACTTCTACTTAATACAGTAACTTGGACTTCTACTTAATACTTATAAATCAACCTCATTTCATCCATCTCTCTCTCACTCCTCTTCTTCTTTTTCTCTTTCTCTCTCACATAACTTCCACAAATTGTTACTTTCAGACACAACATGGACAATCAACAACGTAGCCCTCTTCTAACTTGGGCTTATTACTGCCAAGGAAAGGTACCTTAACCTAACCTTCATCTTTTCATTACAAAATATTTATGCTTCATTTTACATTTTTCATAACTTGTAGTAATAAAATTTTCTCACTTTTGTGACACAGTCAGTGGAGGAGCTAAAACAATCCTTAATCTACACAACAATGGAGCTTGAACAAACAAGAGCAACAGTACAAGAAGAGTTAAGAAAAAGAGACGAACAGTTACTTAACCTTAAAGACATTCTCAACAAAGTCATAAGAGAAAGAGACGAAGCACATGAAAAATGCCAAAGACTTTTCTTAGACAAATTGCTTTTCCAACAACAGCAACAACAACAAAAACAAGATCCACTGTCTGGAATTTCAAGCGTCGAAGATGAACAACAACAACAACAACAACACAAACGAGGAATTGAGTCTTCTAACAACAATGGTTTGTCATCGTCAGATTGTGAAGAAAGCATAGTTTCCTCACCAGCAACGGAACAACAACAACCAATGATGATGATTGAGTTAATAGCAAAAGATAAACCTTTGCCGGAAAAAGGCAAACTTTTGCAGGCAGTGATGAAAGCCGGTCCTTTGCTTCAGACCCTTTTGCTTGCAGGACCATTACCTCAATGGAGACACCCTCCACCGCCATTAGAGTCCTTTGAGATTCCACCTGTCACCATTCCATCCCCAACGCAACAAATTCTTCACCACCAAGATTCTTCCTTTCTGAACACTAACTGTGGAAGATTCAGTAGTAGAAAAAGGGTTTTCGGTGAAGGTTCTGATTCTCCTTCTGCAGATAACAAGTACCAGAGGATTGTACTCCATTGACTTACCTAGTACCTACCACCACGGTTACTATTGACTCAGTTGAACAAGTACTAGATGTTTTTATTGTTGTGGAATCTCAACCGTCCGATCTATGTTTTTTTTTATTTATTTTTTTATATAATATGTTTAGTGGTTAGTTAGTTAATTAATAGTAGCATTAATGGTAAGCATTAGCAAGATGGAACTGTACTAATGTCTAGCATATATGTATAGTGGTGGGTGGAGGAAGAAAAAGAACTTGATTTTGGTTTTTGTAATGTTTGGGAGTGAAAGATTTGTGTTTGACATTTTCCTCTTTTCACATTCTGGTTTTGTTTCTTTGTGAAAGGAAAAGGATCATTGTAATATATTTGTAATGTAACTAAAGTACTAAAGTTCAACAAGTGATTTGAGTTTGTATTGGATTTAGATCTTTATAGGTATGCATCTGTGTATTAAACTCGATCAGTTAGCCTTTGATCAAATAATTATCTGCATGAATGCGAGAGTGTAACCAATTTTGATCAAATAATTGTTGAGTGTTAACTCTATGAATATCAGGAGCGTATCAGATTTTGATCAAATAATTGTCAATGTTCTAACTCTGAATGCCAAGAGCGTAACAGAATCTGATCAAATAATTATTGATATGCTGATTTTGTGAATGTCAAGAGTGTAATAGAATTTGATGCGAGAATATGTATGAATGCGTGGAGTGTGATAGAAAAGGTTCAAAATCTATTTGAGAAAGATTGATCTACTAAAAGATGACATCAACAATTAAGAAGAATAGTTGATTAGGAGAAGGTATGGCCAACAACCAAGGGGTGAAGGCCTTGAGCTATATCCATACTGGGTCCACAAATCAGAATCAGAATCTAGTGTTGGTGTGATGTATCATTATATATATATTAACCTTTTCTTAGACAAGTTATCATTATTCATTTTCTAATATTATTTTTAAACATCTTACTAATTATTACTCACTAGATAATAGAAACAAGATTAGCTTATTTTTTGTTCTAGTAAAGATCTTTATGAAAGTCTTTTGTTGTTACCAAACTATAACTACTTTTGTCTCAACTTTGCATCTTTGAAGATCTAAGAGAATGAGCATAGTTGCCATGTTCTATAACAGTTATGGTGGTTGCTCAAAGTGACATAGTGAAGTACAAGTAAAGAGAGGTCACATGGATAGTCTTCTCCATAGGAGACAAGTAGACGAGGAGGTCCATGGCTTTGTTCAACAATAGTGAACTTGAGTTATGAACAGTAATGAAGATTTTGTAGCATTTTGACTAAATACAATTGATAGAGAAAATAGGTTTAGAAGGGGTTAATAAGAACAAAAATGGGTTACTATCATCCAGCTAGTTTAAGGTGTTAGTGATGTTAAGATTAGATGAAATGAATTTGGTTTCAAATGACGGTAATAACAAGTTCAATAAAACACGCTAAGACACTTGGGAACGTTGAACACGGGCTGCGCAAATAACGCGTTTTATGCCTCACACTAGTAATATAACAAGACAAGATTGTTTCTAAGTTTAGTCAATTCTTGCCTATAAAACAACACGATGCACACGACTTAATTAATCACATAAGTTAATGATCGATTAAAACTCTAAACCCATGGTTAAATTAAGTAACACGCTTAGAGGGTTGCTCAGTATATCTGTATATTTTCATAAAATTCTAAAATTCGAGAAAGTTCATTCCCAAGCAAATTTCGCAGGTATCTTGAAGGTTATGTATATATATTATTTTCTCTGGATAATAACATGTAGAGTTTAAAACTATCTCACACTGATACCTTGAAAAGGTGGTGATATCAATAATAATTTAAAAATAAATTAATTAAATATAAATATAATTTATGAAGTACGTACATCTTGAATAGGACTTCGACATTAATATAACGATGTCATAATAATTTTAAAAATAATTAAATTAATCATAAGTGTTAGGACAGGTGTTCGATACCGACACAGAACACATAATTAGTATGTTGAAGTTGATCTTACTTATAAGTCTAATTTTTTAAGTTAGTTTGTGTCCTAAATTAGTTTGTGTAATGAACATGTGTAAAAGCTCATTGAGTTAGTGAGTTAGTTTTCTTATAAATAATATCCTACTCTCTCATCTTTGAAAGTGTGATGCAAATCCTAATTAAGATTAAAGAAGTTAATTGTTAATATTCACTTGTAATATTTGAACCTTATAAAAAAAGTGGATAGAAAAGTAGTTTTAACCAATTCTTTATTCTTCTTCGTTCTTCTCTTTCTTTTATAAAATTTAATAGAATTTTTTGTATTTGTTAAAAAAATTACTCTCATTTTAATTTATTATTGACGACATCAATTCACAACAAACGTCAGTCCGATATCGATTCGGACAGCCAGATACATATTTTAAGAGACATTATTATTACATAAATTCAAAATGGTTTAGCTGCCTTCGTAAGTTAACTTTTAGTAGTCATAATTTCTCACAGAATTTCTACAAAATTTTCTGCTGATTTTACTTTGAAAATTTCTACATATTTTTATTCCACGACAAATTTGCAATTTTTCTTAAGTTTATCATTTTATACATTTATTTCTTTAATGTAGTTTGTAAGTAATAGTATATAAATTTTAACTACTTAACAAATCTTCTTAATTATTTTCTTAAAATAAATTATGTAAACAACATGCTAAATGATGGTAAATGTGAATTTAAAAGTTTATTCCTCCATTTCTTTTTAATTTTCATTTTTTTATATTTTACAATATTAAAAATTGATAATTATTATTTTTTAAACCATCATTTTTCTTTTGTCTTTAATACTTTTAATTTTTAATTATTTTGATATATTTTTTTCTCTCTATAATAAATAGTTATGAGTAATTATAAGCACAACTATTTTAAATTTTGAAAATGACAATTAAAAAATATAAAATTTTTACTCAGTCAAAAATATTTTTAAATATTTATAGGATTTCAGAGAAACTTCTAGAGTGTAATAAGCAAATCTCAACACTTATACACGGCACAAAATTTGAAGTGAAAACGGTTTAAGGATTTTTATATTTTACAAAACGGAGGCCTAAAGATTATCACTATCTTGACTAACTAGATAGAAGAAGTTACTATACACACCCCCATAGTTCAAAAACATTAGGCAGATTTGTACCTAAGTGTCTCCTTCACGGCAATCATTGAATTGAACCTTTTTTTTCTCTATCAAGTTTCCAGAAGACTCGTTCACTACTCCATGATGGAAATAATATTCAATTTATCTTCCTAGTCAGGTTCATTGAAGCATTCCTAATAGCTATTTCAAATAGCGACATCTACACAATGAAAACAAGCCTAATATAACAATTTACTATTGAGAAACCAAAGAAAATGACTACATATTGTGTATGACTTAGAAAATATTTTATTCTATATCATTATTTGAAAGATTGATAACTTTGTTAATACAACCGACCAAGTCATACATATTATAAATAGTGAAAATTAGAGAAGGATAATCTAGAAAAAAAAACACTCAAGTTGAAAATCAAAGAGAATAAAATCAAAATAATTAAAGATACAAAAAGGGGAAAAAGAAAAGTATAAAACTTGTAAGATTAAAAAATGTCCAGAGAAAAGATAGTCATGTAATAGACAAAAGAAAGAAATATGACTATGACAATTAACTTTAAAGAGTATGAGTATTGTTGGATCGATCTTGATAAAATAAGATTCAATAACTTTTTTGGTTTATTCAATATTTTCGTTCTCCGCTCTTCATTCGAGTGATTCAACCACACTTTGGTTGCAAGACGATTTCCTCGCACAATAATTTGATAAGAAAGATAATTTTTGTGTGTGAGTGTGTGTGTGAGTGTGTGTGTGTGTGTGTGTGTGTGTGTGTGTGTGTGTGTGTGTGTGTGTGTGAGAGAGAGAGAGAAGAGAGAGAGAGAGAGAGAGAGAGAGAGAGAGAGAGAGAGAGAGAGAGAGAGAGAGAGAGAGAGAGAGAGAGAGGGAGTGAGAGTTGATTGTGTGCACAAATTCCTTTTTTTTGTTTTGTTCTGTGAGACACTAAATTTATCAATCATTGTAAGATAATATCACGGTTAATGTAGCATGATAATGCATGTTTTCAGGATGTATTGGTAGCGTATGGGATAAATAATGTTGCTAGGACTCAACTTAACTTCATCGACCATGGATTTTTGTCACCTTCTATTAAGTGTGCCTCTAAAAGATATATCATGTCTTCTACATTTTCCTATCATTGGGAAACCTATTTGACCACTCTTCGATTTAAGATTTGAAGCATTAGGTTTTATGGTTCAACACTTAATAGTTGAACCTAGTGAGGTCAATCTCAAGATTACATAAACGTGTAGAGCCCATGCACAATTCAAAACTTTGAAGATCATATAGCACCATTTGAGGGCTTGTGTTACCTGCTACAGGAATGATGCACTCATAGAGCATCATATAAAGTAAGTCTTGAGGATATATTTCTTTTACTTGGTTGACATAGTCGTTTTTGTGGATAAAAGTGTAATATATGTTGATGTTATATATGTTTATTACTCTTGGACCTATAGAGAATTCATGAGTGTAATTGATAAGTCGTGGATTATTGTATGTGGTACTATATGATGTATGTAAATGAAGTATGAAGTGTGACAAGTGATAGGTCATAGATTATTGCATATGGTTGCATCCAATGATATTAAAAAGTTTCACATTTGTACATGTTTTCAGCACTAGAGAAAAATCCTCCAAGGTCATCTCATCAAGAGATTCTAACGAACGCACAAACTAGGTCAAACCATGTGATGGTTATGTTGTCTAGATGATGTTGTGTCGTCACTTCACTCTAGAATGTCATTGATATGTACCCCTTCATGGGATACAATACAAACTTTAATAGAATATGTGTGATGTGAACTTTAGTGTAGAAGGCACGTGAGGGGTATGATTGTGTGAAAATATCGGTAGATAGACTATTTTACATCATTTTTTTTATCATTTAT